GCAGCCCGACACCCAGGGACACCTCCCAACCACGATGAGGAGGTAAACCGTTGTGAGGAATATTGTGTTAGTTTGACTACAAGTTCTAGCGATTCTTCTATTCATTTCATTGTCTTGCAACTGTTGCATTTTGAAGATAGAATACCAACTAGCCTAAGTAGATACCCTCATGCACCTATCACTAAACTCACTGTCTTTGTAATATATGGCTGTCATACCTTCCTGCTAATTTCTTTCTTTCTCTCTTCCTCTCCCTCTGTTTTTCATCCCTCTGCCTCTGCCTTTCTCTCTGTGTTTTCTATCGTAATGTCTGAATCGTTCATTTGCTTATTGCGTGTTTAATTGATATTGAGTTGTTCAGAAATAAATGAGCGTTTTAAAGCATTTATCGATTTAGTGCAACTTTTATGAATAAAATATTCTTTGTACCTTCCAATGTTTACATACCATTGGAAAGCTGATTTTATGCTTTTCCTACCCATATTTTTATATTTTGTCAAAGGCAAAATTTTCTTTTTGCCAATTTTCAGCTTTGGAATTTTAGATGTCAAAAAAGAGTTCTCTTCAAATTTTATTCCGGACCTAGTCCCGGAAATTCCGATCTGGTAATTTCGACCCCGAAGATGAGGTAGGCCGCGGACATCCAAATGAACTTGACGGCGACGAACTAAAGGCACTAGTGGAAGCAAACAGGCAAACAACTGCTGGGGATTTGCAGAACAGCTTCGCGTAGACACAGAAACAACTTTCATCCACTTGAATCGCTCGGGAAAGGCAAAAAACTCGACAAGTGGGTGCTACAACGAATAAAACGATAATCAAAAAATCGTCGTTTTGAGGTGTCGTCTGCTCTTATTCTGAGCAAAAAAGAACCCTTTTCTCGATCGAGTTGTGACATCCGACGAGAAGTGGATTCCGCGCGACAACCGGCGACGTTCAGCTCAATGGTTGAATTGCGATCAGGTTCCACAGCACTTCGCAAGGCCGAAATTGCACCAAAAAAAGTTATGGTGACTGTTTGGTGGTCTGCAACCGAGCTGATTCATCACATTTTTTTGAAACAGAGCGAAACGATTATAGCAGGGAAGTATTGCCAAGAAATCAACGACATGCACCGTAAACTCCAACAACAATGACCGGCATTAGTCAAAACAAAAGCACCAATCCTTCTCCATGACAACGCCCGGCCCTACGTTGCGGAACCAGCTCTGCAGAAGTTGAACAAATTGGTCTACGAAACCTTGCCTCATCATCCATAGTCAACAGACCTCTCACCTACCGACCACCACTTCTTCAAGCACCTTGGCAACTTTCTGCGCCAGAAATGCTTCACCATCCACGATGACGCAAAAAAATGCCTTCAACGAATCCATGCCTTCTAGGATTCCAGAAATTAATGCAACAGGAATAAACAAACTTGTTTTCGTTGGTAAAAATCTGCAAATTTAAATCATCTTTATATTGATTAATAAAGTTTTATATAGTCAAAAACGTTCATTTATTTCTGAACAGCCGAATACTTTCCTGGCCTATCTACCTAGTTCTTCTTCTGAAAGTTGTTTTTTTTGTGAAGTGAAATGAGTGAAATGACCATCTTCGCCCATTCTTTGCAGGTTAAGCTCTCTATTCGCTTTACGTCTACGTGAGTTTTACTGCTCAGAACTCAGTTCTGGTGCCACTGTTTGCACAACCTATGTGATTCCAGTTTGGTCGGATGAATGATTCATTTTCTAACAATTCAAAGTTTTATTTCACTTCCGTGTAATTCATCGGCAGCACGTCTTCTACTGAATGTGTTTATTGCTAAGCGCAATCGGAATCTTTTTCAAACAAAAGGGCAGTTCAAAGATTATGAAAAGAGAAAAAAGGATAGACGGAAAAGGAAGGAAGACAAAAAGTGCAGACCATTTTATGGTTGCACAGATATAAAGAACTGCAGTCCACTCGAAGTCAACCTCTCCAAGTATGGAGTCCAATTTCGAAAAAAAATGCGTCATCGAAAGTTAAAAGTATTATGGGAGTGGTCGCACCTCAAGAGAAATGAAATGCTTGGGATTGATAAGAAATGAAGGAATGCGACCAATGGCCGACATTACATAAAATTTTTTGCTGAGGTGTTGGAATAATATTCATAAGAGCAGACCATTTGCTTGGAAAGAATTTCATTTACAAACCGCGAAACGTTGAGCTAGAGTAGCTTTAAAAGGAGGAAGGAACATAAAATATTTGTTGAAGGTTATAATAATAAATTGAAGATTTTATTCAACGCTATCCCGTGGCATTAGTCACCAGTGCAAACATTTAAGTGCATTTGTCTGCAAAGTTTTATCAGAATGGGTAGCAAAGTAAAGGACAAATGTTACAACTTCAGGTGTTGATCAGTTCACCACGAATGCTCCATACATTCCATTCCACCAATTTTCCTAGAAGTGATAGAATGCATATCTGGCCAATACAATAACTTTATGGGGCTTATCGACCTCTCTTATTAGTATTTTAGTCCTCCCAGAGAAGCCTTGGACCAATTTTCCGCACCGGAGAGTTGGAAGGCTTGGAACCTCAAGGCGCAGGCTTGAACCAAAGACCACTTGTTTATTTTAGGACACCTCTAATCACTGAACTACATGCTCTCCAAAAATGAAATATTTTGTCCAGATTTGGTTGCGAAGTTAATTGCCGTGACTGACCAACTCATGATTCATACAATCAATGGTCTCGCCGCTTTCGAAATATTTGCAGTTGTAAGTGTAACCAATTTGAAAGGGAAAAGAAAGAAAGAGCTTCATTTTTCACAAGCATAATTAGGTTTTGGCTTGCTGTTGGTTAAATTCTTATGGATAAGTCGGTGTGGATACGCTGAAATAACATCCATGTATTTTTTGTTATTGTGGTCGACTCTGGAAATTCCATAGAGTGAAAACCCGGATTTATTTGTCATCTTGAGTTTTCGAAAATCTCTGCAGAACTTTCACACAAATCTATCGAATTGCGAGAAATCAATCGCTACCGCAACTCTTAGAAGACTTTTGTGCGTACCGTATTAGATGAGAATGATAATGTAAGATTTATTTCACCTCGCTGCTCATAAAGGATTTGTAGCGTCTTGGTGCAGTGGTTAGAGGTGCAGTCCATTAGGAAGCAAGGTTATGGTGCCACACCCTTCCCAACGTTCTCCCTCAGTCCGCGTGGAAACACGTTAGATCGGATAATTCCAAGACTTCAAGCAGAGACGACTCAACGAGCATTCGACGGTATTCATAAAGAAGACGAAATCCCCACGCACAGTCGAAACACGCGAAATGTTCGAGGACCTTCGTTAACTGCGAGGAAAACGAATCAAATAGAAGGCGTACCGGGATTCACATAGTAGATGTGATGACGGTTCTTATAAAACAACGTGAATAAAAATCTACTTAATGCTGCCCTAGTTCGCCATACAGCCACATCGCTGTCGGTATTTGTAATTACAATTTACAACTTACGTTGAAGTTAAGGGTGCAGAATAGCCTTCCATGCATTATGACCACTACGAAACCTGAGATGAACGAGCTGTCGCTAGCTTATAAGAACTTTGGAAAGTAATGCACATTAAAATAAAACACCAGAAGCAAAATAACTTCTACTGAGGTCACAATAGCCGCGTAGCCTCGTACAGAGGTAGTGTCGCCACATAACCATAATCGTAACGGTCATTTTATGCACATTTGGCATCTATAATGATTTTTAAGGACCTACAGCATGTCAACTCAGTATTCCTATTCAGTTAAACATGGCAGTAGTTTGCCGATCTCGTGGGAATGACGTGTTTGGTTCAGAGCTCGGGATCAAGCCTAGGATCACGTGTGGGACAACCGAGCTCTAACTACTATAACATACTATACACGCAATTAGGAATCAATGTTGATCTCTAATAACAGAGTTGGAACAATGGAATTCTTAGCCAGCTTCTCAAGGGTATGAGGTGAACTTGGTGCAAGAAATCCTTCAGGAAATCCACAGGTAATTAAAAATATTAAACAGTGTTAGGATTTAAAAATTGCTGTAATCTGCCGCTCCATGTACTGGGACTGGAAAAACGAACTAAGACAGTTGCAGTTTCAAAAGTTCTACGCCAAGCATGACTAGTGTTGAACAAGCACAGCGGAAATGAGCAGAAGGAACTGAGTCGTCATATCCTACCAGTTTTCGTTGTCCTCTACTGACTATCGTCCTTATTGAATGACTGTCGGAGTTTCGTGTCACAGTGGTTCAAGACAATTCATTCTGCGCAGGCTCTTTTTGTTAACAAGCTAACTGACAGTAACTAGCGAGATCGATGATAGCTATCATAAACATGTGATATGGTTGTTCATGGAAATTGGAACGCAAACCAAAGTGTAGCGACGACGACGTGTTACGCGTAGCCAGGTAGTCATAATCGAAAGTATTAAATAGCACTTAAAAGTACCAATAAAAGTGACGAAAAGCCTTGTAATTGAAGTAACAGGGCTACCCAGGACTAACTTTCCTAATATAACTGGATTCACTCCAGTTGCTTCTCACCGTATCATGGCTATCGTTTGGTCGTTGCTGTCCAACTACTTTTATTTAAAGAGAGACATACCTCCGCAAAAACGTCAGGACTTTCGTGATTTAGGGAAAGGAAGTATTGTCCAAACAGGGAATTACTGCTTAAATGGAAATTGTCCTAATTTCCACGGTTTTCGTGATTCGTGAAACAAATCGTGCTAAATACACGACTGAGTAATTAGCATTGCAGTTATCATTGTTTTTTGTTTCCATTTAAGCATTATTAGGTAAGGACAAAAGTGCTGTTATTTTTTACCTCTAAGGTTAAAACATACACTTTCTATCCTGCTTATAGCCGGCTTTGTTAGCTAACATGGTAACAGTGGAATCTAAACATAATTACCGCCATACTTTTTTCTGACGGCTCGGAAAAAAGCAAAGCAAGGCGCAGTGAACTTCTCACGCTTGCAAGGGATATCGTTATGCACAATATGAAGCACAATGCAGAAGTGGAGGCGTGTGATCTGCTTATCGAGATTGAGCGACTTGATCTTCTTATGGAATATGTGGTAGATGTGGATCATCAGAAGGTTTGCCTCTATTTACTCAGTTGTGTACCACTGACTCCTGACCCAGACAATGTCATCCTCATTCGCACTGCGAAGAATATTTATTTGAAGTACCAGCGTTATCTGGAAGTTGTACGCTGTGCTATTGTGTTGAACGAACCAAACGAGATCAAAGACATTTTCACCATGACTGAAGACACACTGCTCATATTCCAATGCCGAGGTTAATAGAAAGTCAATCCTGGGAACTAATACTTTTTTCTATTCTAACGCAGGATTATCCAGGCTTCTTGATTCTGTGACTCTCCAGAAGTCATTCTTATCGTTGCTGAAGATATTAAGCATTCCATGCCATAGAGGTGTCTCGGTAATGCTGGTCGACTAGTTCGAAGCCAAGGAAGTGTGTTTGATGAAGTTGAGCTTCGTATCCCAATTCTTTCAGCTTCCATAGTATCGGTGTTGAAAGGTTAGTCTGTGCAGTGTAGTATAACAGACAATTACTGACTAATTAATCGCTTTTCATCGATTAGTACTGGTCAAATATTGCAGTTCTCAGTATATTTTCTTAATTTCTGATAGCTCTCTGCTGTAATGACTTCGTCAAGATTAAAGAAATTATTGTGGACAATTTTATCTGTAAAGCACGGTTGGGGATAATCGCAGCCTTTCCGCGTACTTTTGGTCATATGGCCTTGTGATTCGCTATTCAAAAAGCACGCAACGTCGTCGGTTGTTTTATGGAATTCATTTTTAATTGAATATTACTGTGCAATTAATCAACGGATTAAAACCCTAGAATGAACAGCAGGTAGGAATGCCCAGAGATCACACACGTGATCTGGCCCCGTACCTTCACATTGACTTTTGATGTGGGGAGGTGCAGTCGTCAGCCACATGCGACTCTGAGTGCCTGTTTTTCCTCGGTGGAATAGAGGTGGGAAAACCGATGGGTTTTTTCGAGAAGCTGTTGATCGTGTGATTGCGACTTAGATTTTCATCTTTCTGTATGTTATATGTTATAGGAGCGTTTAACTTAATAAATTGCAGTGACTCCCACGATCGACTTTCTATTAACCTCGGCATTGATCAAGTAATTCTTCGTATTACCCCTCTGAACGGGCAGACCCCTGTGTCCGCATAAAAGAACAACTAGCCGGCAAGCATAGACCAAATACCCCGCTAGGCACGCATGAGACCCAGAGACATAACGGGGAGGACTTTGAAGTTCGTGTCACGATACTCGCACACGAATCAAGAACACAAGCGCGCAAAACTCTCGAGGCACTCTGGATTAATTCCAGAAATCCGAAAATGAACCGCAAGGAAGAATGCCTCATCATCACGCGTGATATAATGCAGTATATAAGACTCGAAAGACCGACTTTCTATAAACCTCGGCATGGATAGTTGATATATTTATTTATGTGATCTTATAAACTGATCTTCTTAAGCTGACGCGAGGTTGGTACAGGTCTTCGTTGTCGTTGTCGTTGTTTCTGATGTTATTGATCGATGGCTGACGTTTCGGCGACTTCGCCTTCCTCAGAGCCGTGATGTTACGTGCGGAAAAGTATATAAGACTGCTATTCTGATGGGAGGGGCACATTATGCCTCCATGTGATTTCTGTGCGGTTGGTCTCTACGTGACATACTTAGTGGAAACCTCATAGAAAGCGGTGAGTGTGCAAAGCTGTGTTCAAAGTGATTGAAATCTTGGTTTAGAGTTTCTTTGTTTGGTTGTGGAGGCGTCTATCCGTCCTTGACCTTTCCAGGCTCTGAGGAAGGCGAAATCCGCAGAAACGTCAGCTTATTCGTGAATAAAGAGTAATAACACCTCGCGTTTGCTCAACAAAAATACGAATCAAGTTTGATGCGCAAAATGACAGAAACAAATTTCATAGTGGCGGCCAGATTCCCACCTATTCAGTTCAAACACGGGCGCGTTTGGCGAAGTGGTCGGAGGCGCCCTGAAATACACACGTGGAATCGATCCCCAGGCCATGGCCCGCCATGCCTTCCATCCCTCCGGGGTCGGCAAATTGGTATAAGGCTTGCCTGGGAGGATAGCATCACTGGCTCGACACATCGGTAGGGCGCAGCTAGTCATTGTAAAGGCCTGATATGCATTCAATCACTTCCAAATGATGCTTAATTAAGTCGAATACATGGCGCATCCCTCAGAAATTGATAAACTCCGATAACTACATCCTTTTTATTCAGTTCGAACATCACTAATTTTTTTTCCTTCGATTGATGTCGACTCACTTCTACCAACCTCTTCAAAGAGTGACGGTAGAGAATAGTTTATCAGTGCCGAATAGTTGGTGGATCAGTAGACCCGTCCGTAGATGGGGTAAGGTCACCCATGTGTTGTGTTGTGTTGTTGGCGGATTCCCAGCCATGTGCACATTTGATATGATGGACGATTTCCTTCATGTACAAATTTGAATAAACACAATGTGCTAGAAATTCGTTGTCTCTTCATTTCTCCTGCTCAAGAAACACGAAAAATTGGCGACACAGTTTGCACTTGAATGGTGAATTGATGGTGAAACAAGATTTTCTTTCTCTAGATTTGCTTTGCGGAAGCTGTACCAGTATTACAGTGATTCTTTGACGCAGTTTAATTTTATTTTGCTAAGCGATTGTCAGTGTCAAGCTCATTCTGAGTTTCGGCCAGTAAGAAAAAGCCGTCTAGCAACACTGGAGCTTCGAATCTCCCTGCAGTGTTACCTACGCTCGGACAGGGTTCGACGTTTTCTCCCACAGGACTCATTCCTTTTCCGTTTAACTTATCCATATGCTAAAAGCAGGTCTACCCCGCGAAAAAGCACTGCTCACTACGCTTGACTTCTTGATTGCCAGAAAAATCTAAGTCCAAAGACCCTAGTCCAAAGACAATGCTGCTCGTTGTGTTCCGCGAAGAAATGAGGCCTATTGAGCAGCTCTGAAGCATGGCACCGACAAAGGGAAGCTTACCGCTGCATGCCCAACTTTCTCGATCATTTCTGTGGTTACAGGTAGGATAGGTGACAATAAGATAAATTTGCTTCAAGAAAGCGTAATTGTGTCCTATATTTCATGAGTTGGTGGAGTCGTAATGGAACTGGATGGCATTCGGGGAAAGTCTCAGCACCGAGAAGTTTTTCGTGTCATTAATGCGTTTTTGAAATCCGATTCACTTCATCTCCCACATCGTCAGGTCCTGTTGAAAATGATAATGACAAGTGGCAGTAATTTTACTACGTGTTGAGCCATTCAAACCTATACCAACCAGGCTTCCAATTCTTCCGAAATCGAGAAATTTGCGCCACACTTGCCTGCAAAATGCCTTTTCCCAACAAGAGAAGCTGAAGACTGCCTAAAGCCATGACCAGACCACGCCCTATAATGATAACTCTAGACATCCAGGGAACATCGACGGGATCAGTATTGGACAACATTCATTGGGAAGACCAAAGGTTTTCAAACAGCAGCAGTCAAACCCACATGCAAGATCGGTAGGTATTTGCGGATGGTGAATACGAGGAAGGAATCAACCACAAGAAATACAGAGACTCGCACAACAATGTCGGATCTTGTAAAAAAAAAATACAAATTAAGCAAATAGTCTAAGAACCTTCTGGGAGTTCCTTCAGTGAGATAGCGAAATCCGGTAAATGAATGGGCAGTTTTCAAAAAGTTTTTGGAATACTAATTTATATACAGTGGTACCGGTATGTGAAAATAGTGGAAGACATTAACAAGTAAAGGGTACTTGATATTTCTCACTTTCACACTGCCTGTGCGGGCCACAGCGTAATGACCATTTTTTGGAGATTTGCTGCTTAAGCCATTGTGGTTCCCTGGAATCCCGAGGTCAGCCTGGCCAAAGCCTGCCCCAGATCTTCACCACCACAGGCAGCCGCACCTCTTGTGGATCAGAGAGGGAATTGTCACCATGCGACTTTGCCACCAGGATGGCGGTGGATTCTGGTATTGGTTTTCTCTTAGTTAGGCCTCCTGACGGAAACGCTGGACTCTTTCTCAGCTTGGGAGATTCTGCCAAGAAGACGAATCCCCCCACTGTACATCGCAGTCCGACACCCAGGAACACCTCCCAACCACAATGGGGCGGTAAAGCGTTGGGAGGTAGCAAGTACAGAGTAGCTCAAAAAGCACAAAAGATGATAATAACCCTCCAATACAGCACACTCTTGCGTTTATAGAAAATTTTATTGGCAGTTTATATTAGTTTGCATTCTTACTTTTATGTGATTTACGCACCAATATATTAGTAAGATAAAAAGACATGAGAGAAACTGATAGCTAGTCGTTAATTTTGCCAGAAATTGCTCTGAATGCGCATCTCTTTTATTACAACACGAAGCAAACTGCTAATGTGGTTTCTATTGCAAATATATTGGAACCCTTAAAGCCTTTCTGACGATCTAATGAACTGTGATTGAAACAGGCCTCAATGCTTGTACAAACCACGTGTTTGCCTTTGAATTTGGTCTGTGAAAAAGGGACAAATTTTCTCTGCCCATTTAGTATTGAATTCTGACCTCTGTCAAAATCATTATTGGGTAAAAGAAAAATTTATTCATTGAAGGTTTTATGTAGACCTGGTATTATGGGATGTAGTAAATTTTGGGGCGGGCAGCAGAGTAGTAGTCCTGCCGATAATCACGAGCAAAGCGCTGCTTCAGCCCCGCTCCGGGCACACTAAGCCTCTCATTCTTCCCGGGTGAAAAATTCGTACCAGACATGTACGAAAAAAGCTCCATCTCTAAAATCCACGCAGGAACGCTCTAGCTCGGCTATCTTAGGACTCCACGGAAGCAGAATTGCTTCTCTTTTTTGTTTTGTTTTAAAATCTTCGTTTTTCAAAAAAAATCTCTTCTATAATGCTGAGATGTTTGCAAAACTCCGAACCGCAGGTGTCTGCGGTGCAGAACGAACGCGCTATGGTCCTTTCCCGGAGAGTAACGCGTTCACCACCACACTATGCGGGTCCTTCGCTTCGCCAGTCTCTCAAC